TTTTTGAATGTCCAGAGGACCAGATTGAACTTTTTTGGATGTATATTTGTTACTAACTCAAACTGTTTTCATCACCATTATTTTGTAAGAAGTTCAAAAGGTTTTATCATGAGTAAACATTTTATTCTGACATGTCGGTGTCATGCTAGTCTCAGCTGCTGGACAGTTTTATGTTTTATGTAATACTAAGGAAATTACATCTAATCTTTATTTAAAATTTCAAGATCTTCTTGATGTTGTTGCTCCTTTTTAAGAAACGTTACCCAAACCAAAGTCTGATTCAGCCATCCATCCAGGGTCGGGTCGCGGGGGCAGCAGCTCGAGCAGGCAGGCCCAGTTGTCTGATTCCACAGTCGCCTCTTCTTCTTCTGGGAGGATTACCAGGCCAGCTGAGAGACAGTCTTTCCAGCGTATCCTGGGTCTTTACTGGGGTCTCCTTCCAGTTGGACATGCATGGACAACTTCCCTAAGGAGGCGTCCTTGCCGTCTCAGCAGCAGCTCTGCTCTGAGTTTCTCCTGGATAATTTAATTTCTCGCCCTGTCTTTAAGTGAAAAGCCTAACTATTCTGTGGTGAAAACTGATTTTGAACACTTGCATGCACAGTCTAGTTCTTTTGATCAGTACTCAGAGTTTGTGGCCATAGGTGAGGATAGAAAAGTAGAAGGACTAATAAATGGAGAGCTTCGCCTTACAGCTCAGCTCCGTCTTCACTACAATGGACCGGCACAAAATGCACATTACTGCTGAAGCTGCATCAGTCTGTCTCTCAGTCTCGTGCTTTATTCTTCCGTCACTTATGACAAAACTCCAAAATATCAAAGTCCTCCACTTGAGGCAGCTCCTTACTCCCAACTCTGAGGTAGCAGTCTACCCTTTTCCGATTGAGGACCATGTTTTTTTGCGGTGCTGATCCTCATCCCAGCCGCTTCACACTTTGTTGTGAACCTCTCCGGCGAGAGTTGGAGATCACGGCACGATGACGCCAACTGGACCACTTCTGGTCCACCAAGAAATTATTTCCATAATAGTTGCCAATAATCTCTCACATCCTTTGTATAGGGACTGAATGGTCTGTAGTACCACCCTCCTTAGCAAGTCTGAGGAAGGAGATTCCCCCAGTATGCCAGTCCAGTGGCGCTGTCCCTGAAATCTGTATGATGTAGCAAAGGTGTGTCAACCAATGCCCCTTTTGCACCGCCCCTAATAAGCTCCAATTCTGGGCAGCCCGCCACAGAAAGAACCATTTTGCACCAGTACTTCAGTATTTTTAGCTGATTTGAGGCTGATTCAGGACCTCTTTTCGTCCCTGCTTCTCTGGTGGGACTGAGCGAGCTCAGTCAAGCCGAGTCCGGACCGAAACGTGAATGCAGGACTCTGATTGGTCAGGGGGAGGAGTCACTGGATCTCAGAAACTTTTCACTGAGCCACCATTTGCAATTTCTCTGGATGCGGAGCAGCGGCTAGATCTATTTTTAAGATTTTAAAAACAATAATGACAACGCCGTGTTTAATGCTGAAGTCCAGGTGTATTTTGTGTTTGGTGACCGACTATAAAATTGGAGCGAGCGGTGTCACCGCGGAGGATCATACGAGCTGCTGAGCCGTTGAAGCCCGCGAGGCCGAACCCCGAGCCCCGGCCTCGCCTGCTCACTAAGGCCAGATTCGAGCCCTGGCAGGCGGGAGGACCGGGATGGAGGGACGGGGGCTGGAAACGTTTTTTTTTTTTTTTAACATTTTATATAAAAAAATTAAAGTTTTTTTTATTTTTATCAGTGAAGATTAAAAATAATCTGGCTTTATCGTGAAATCCTGTTTTCTCATTGACTTTATTAAATAATCTGTTAATTAAAGTTAATTCAACTGAAAAATTATAAAAAGACAAAATTATTGAATCTCTGTGGAATATTTCCCTCCAACATGTTTGAAGAAGAGACACAGTTCAACTTTATTCTAACCCACAGATGAACAAATCACAAAACAAGAATTACACTTTAAATTAAAGCTTTAAATCAAAACTAAACTTTAATTCAAAGCTAAAAATAATCTGTATACAAGAAACAAATAATCTGCATACAAGAAACAAATAATCTGCATA